CAGGGAGATAGCTCAGGGTGCAGAAGAGTAAGAAGGGATGTACACTGGGAGGAGGTAACTATGGGGAGGAAGTGGGAGGGGAGCTGCTGCATTGTAAATTTTGGTCAATGACATGAGACAAAGTATATGTGAACTGCTGTATGAAAAGTGAATTTACTCTGTAAATCTTCACTCAAATCCTAATAAAATAAAATAAAAAAAAACAATTTGTGCTGTAAACTTTCACCCAAATCACAATTAAAAGTTTAAACATGGGCCAAGGACACGAACAGACACTTCACCAAAGATGACATTTAGGCACTAACAAACACATGAAAAGATGGTCACAATCATTAGCTGTTAGAGAGATGCACACAAAAACTAAAATGGAACACTATCTCACCCCACAAAAATGGCACAGATCAAAACAACAACAAAAAAAAATTCTAGTGAGGTTGCAGGGAGACTGGAACTCTTATACACTGCTGGTAGGACTGCAAAATGGTGCAACCACTATGGAAAATGTTATGATGCTTCCTCAAAAAGCTAGAAATAGGAATACCATAGATCTAGCAAACCCACTGCTAGGTCTGTACCCTAGAGAAATAAGAGCAGTGACAGGAATAGACATATGCACATCCATGTTTATGGCAGCAGTATTCAAAATAGCAAGAAGATGGAAACAACCTGTCTACCAGCAGATAAATGGATAAACAAATTGTGGTAAATACATACAATAGAATACTTCGCAATGATAAAGAATAATGATGACTCTGTGAAACAACCTTGATGAATCTGGAAGACTTTATGCTGAGTGAAATAAGTCAATCACAAAAGGACAAATAGTGTATGATACCACTTTAATAAAAGTCAAGAACAGGGTTACACATAGAAAGCAGTGTTGTTTGATGGTTACCAAGGATGAGAAGGGGAGAGAGAGGGGGAATTACTTACTAGAAAATAACATGTGTTAATTCTGGTGATGGGAAGGGAAATGCACAGTATGTAGGAAGTCAACACAGCATGACCAAGGTAAATGAAGACACTGAAAGGTATGCAAGAACAAAGGACAAGTACAGTAAATGCTGTAACATATACAATTTGGCAAAAATAGTAATAACAACTGAAAATTTGTGAGTGGTTCCATAGATAGATATGTACACTACATAGGTATGGGAAGGCATATGGGAACACATGCATGTGCATATATATAGGTATAATTGTGGGCACTTGTATATATACATTTGCATATGTTACATACATACTCATATATATAATACAGCACATAAGGGCCACAGTTAGGAAGGAAACTTCCTAACATATTCAAACACCTCATGAGGCTGAGTTACTGGGTTTGAAGGCTCAGGACCATGATCTTGAGGGATATCTCGATCAATGGGCATAACATAATTTAAAAGATAATGTTCTACATTCTTTGGTGGGTCTTAAAAGGTTGTGAACAGTCATATGAGATACAAATATTGGTCTCCTCCCATCTGAAGCAAACGAGAGTGAACAAAAACAAAGACTCAAGAAAGCAATTCGTACAAAGGACTAACAGCCCACGTGAATCACAGCCTCTTCCAGGCTAAGACCAGAACTAGATGGCTCCAAGTATGACTACTGGCCACCTTGATCAGGGACACTACAGAAGGTCTCAGAGCAGGAGAAAAATACAGAACAAAACTCAAATTTATTTAAAAAAAAAAAGACCAAACTCATTGAACTGATAGAGACTGGAGGAACCCCTGAAAACTACTGCCATAAGGCACCCTTTTTACCTGGAACTGAAGCCACTTCCAGAGATCACCTTTCAGCCAAATAACAGATTGGCCTATAAACAGTAATACCCATGAGGAATCTGTGCTTTACAGAACATTCAACTATATGAGACCAAACAGGCCACATTTGATGAGATGGCAAGGAAGGGCAGGGAAACTAGAGGGATGGAAACAGGGAATGCAGGGTGGAAATGAGGAGAACACTGACATGTTGCCGGGATAGCAACCAATGTCACAAAGCAATTTGTGTATGAATCGCTGAATGGGAAACTAATTTGCTGTGTAAACCTTCACTTAAAACACAATAAAATGTTAAAAAGAAAAAAGATGAAGTAACTTGTTTAAGGTCAAGCAGCAAGATGAATGTCTAATTTACAACCCATGCTTTTAAAAGTATACTACCAGGAAGTTCTTTACTTTGATCCAAAGTCTGTCAGTCTGGGATCTGCATGTACTAATCCTAGTTCTGTCTTCTCAGGCACACAGAATAAGTGCAATCCCTTTACATGGGACAGCTTTCCACATATTTGAGGGCAGATGTAATTTGTTCCCGAGGACTTCTAACCACACTCAGCTCCTCCAGCAATTCTTTATAAGTTATTTTCATTGAGCAAGGCCCAAGAGGAAAAAGAATTTGTAAGAGCTGAAAGTCTGTAACATAGTTTTGAGAAAAAAAATAAAATCTAGTTTACTTTAGGAGCCAGGACCTTAGCAAGTTTCCTAGCACAAAATCCTAGAGGGCAGAGATAGGGTCAGCTTCAACTGTTCTACACAGGGCCCAGCCCAATCCCACAAAGAGATGCTTCATAAACTACCTTTTAGGTGTTTGAAGCCAATCTAAAAACCTCCAATCATGGTAGAGAGACAATTTAGTAGGGACATTAAATAACCATCCTCAAATACCGTGCTTAAAAATTACTTTTTCACAGGCAACAAAGATAAACACTTCTACATACATATACAATATTGCATTATCAGTAGTAACAAACATTAATCAATGGGTAAATACTTAGGTAGACAGGCTGAATGATCAGGTATGTCTACACAAAAGGGAATAAACCTATGACTATATATAAGTTTGGCAGGCAGTATTTCTACATATGTATTCGTACATGCTGTAAGAACATCCACATACATAGAACAGGGAGCAAAGTTAACTCCTTAGCTGCAGCCATCCACCCTGAGAGAGTGAGTTGTTGGACCTGTGGACTCGGGACCATAGTCACAGGGGACAGCAAGCTCAACTGGCATAACATACTAGACAAAACCATTGTTCTATATCCTACTTTGGTGAGTAGTCTGGAGTCTTAAAAGCTTAGAAGCAGGCATATAGATGCACCAATTGGTTTCTCATCTGGCGCAAAAAAGAATGAAGAAGACTAAAGACAGATGGAAACAACTAGTCCAAGGGACCAGTAGACCATATGGACCATGAGACCAGAACTAGATGGTGCCTGGCTACCACTGTCAACCACTGGGAAAGGGATCAGTGTAGGAGATCCTGGATAGAGTGGGAGAAAAATGTGGAATAAAACTCAAAATCATAAAAAAAAAAAACAGGCTTAATCATCTGATAGAGAGACTGGTAAAACCCCTGAGACGATGGCCCCTAGTTACCCTTTGGGCCTGAAGCTGAACTCACTTCCTGTGGCTTCCAAACAATAGACAGGCATATAGGGTGAATATTTACACCAGGTAAATAACATTCCTTAGAGCAATCAACCATGGGAAATCAGAAGGGCAGCATTTGCACAGGGAGATAGCCAGAGGGCAGGAATGCATAGGAAAGGACAGAAGGAAAAGGTAACCACAGGGAGGAAGTGGGAAGAGAGCTGTTACATTATGGGGATAGCAGTCAATATCATGAAACAAAATGTGTATGAACTGCTGTATGGAAAATGAATTTTCTCTGTAAACTTTCACCCAAATCACAATTGAAAATTACCTTTTTATTAGAAGCTCTCTGTGCTAGGGTGATGTCAATGGGACAGATTTTCCCTTTCTTCACAATGGGCTCTTGTCCAGGAAAGGTCACTTGATAGGCAGGCTGCAATTTTTCCAAACATCTGAAACAAGGGAATTAAAGAGTTGAAGACTGATGAAGCCAAAAGATAGAACCGCTATTTCCTTATACCCCACTACCATCAGGCAGTTGGGTATTAGCTGATCTTGCAGAGCAGGGCTTCACATTGTTGTTGTTGTTGTTGCTGTTAGTTGCCATCAAGGTGGCTCTGACTCATGGCAACATTATGCACAAAAGAATGAAATGTTGCCCAGTCCTGTGCCATCCTCATTATCATTGCCATGTTTCAGCTCATTGTTTTGGCCACTGGGTCAGTCCATCTCATTGAGGGTTTCCCATTTCCATGACCCTCTACTTTATCAACCATGAGGTCCTTTTCTAGCAGTTAGTCTTTCCTAATGACATGTCTAAATTAACAAGCCAAAGTCTTGCCATCCTGGCTTCTGAGGAGCATCCTGGTTGTATTTCTTCTAAGACGAAATTATTCGTTCTTCTGGCAGCCCTCAGTATATTCAATATTCTTCCCAACACCACAATTCAAATGCATCCGTTCTGTCTTCCTTTTTCACTGTCCAGCTTTTGCAGGAATATGAGTCTATTGAAAAGACCACAGCTTGGATCAGGCACACCTTAGTCATCAAAGTGACATCTTTGCTTTTTAACACTTTAAGGAGGTCTTTTGCCACAGATTTGCCCAATGCAATACATCGTTTGATTTCTTGACTGCTACTTCCATGGCCATTGATTGTTGATCCAAGTAGAATGAAACTGTTGATAACTTCATTTTTTTTTCCATTTATTGTGACATTATCCAGCTGCACATGAGAATCATTCAAATCACCTAGGGAGTGAGATTCGTTCTAGACCAATTAAATCAGAATTTCCAGAGGTAGGTCCCAGACAGAGATATTTTTAAAGCTCTCCAGATGATTCCAAATTGCAGCTGTTAAGACCCACTGATGCAGGAAGGGACATGAGTGGCTTGAATACTGAGACACTGCCCATTGGCGTGTCTTCTGAAAATCTGCCCAGCCTGCTATATGGAGAATATCCTACCTATCTTGAAAATTTACCTTATCTAGCCTACTGCCTCCAAGTTATGCTTCATATTTATGGCATATTTCAAACATGTATCACCTTTGTTGTTGCTGTTGTTAGGTGCCAGTGAGTCATCGATGACTCATAGTGACCCTACGCACAGTAGAACAAAACACCGCCTGGTCCCACACCAGTTCTGTGATCCCTGCTATACTGGAGCCCATCGCCGCAGCCACCTTGTCAATCCATGTCATTGAGGGCCTTCCCCTCTTTCGTCGACCCTCCACCTTACCAAGCATGACATCCC